TTCTCTGAGCATCGCTTTGTGCCTGTTGCTAGCATGTGGCCTCTCCATCACCCTGTGCTGTTGCCTATTCCTTGTTGTTTCTCTTCTCTCCTGCAGCAGCGAAGCCAGTTTGGACACTGGAGGGCAAAAGAGGGGGCATTATTTACTGTTAATTATTTTACAGCACCACCCATGTGCCTGGCCCCGGCTCAATGGTGCTTCTCATCCAAGCTGTAAAAGTGACATGAAGAGTGAGGGGACAAACAGTGGGTAGGGGACAGGCCACTGTCATCTGCCAGATGTTTAATCACCATGGTGCCTTGGCCTAGCTTGAATACGGTTAGATGACACACAGGTTAAATCACTGGTGGCTGGGATATGCTCTCACCCTACCTTTACTAGTGATAGTGCAGTGGGTGGTCTAGTGGTAAGGGCACTAAACTGGGACTTGAGAGAGCAGTTAAAAATTCTGCTTTGCTACAGCTTTCTTTTGTGGCCTTGGGCATGTCACTTAGTCTCTCTGTGCCACAGGAAATATTAGCCCTGCCCTACCTCACAAAGGTGGTGAAGAATAAATATAGTAAATATTGTGAGCTGCTCAGAGCCTGCAGTTTGACACTGAACTCCCTTGGAAGTTAGGGGTCTAATTACCTTTGAGGAGCGGAGCCTGAGTTTAAGTGATTTACCAATGATAACACAGAAAGTTTGTGGCATATCAATGGCGACAATGATCTCCAGCAGGTTCTTATCTGGTAGTAGAATGGCTTAGCCAGTAGGTGACAGCACCCATCCTATTGGGGTTAATAATGCCAATACACTTGTGTGCACAATGCTCTTAGTTATGTAAGTGCACAACACTGGTATTGGCCTCCTTTCTCAACTAGGGAGAGAGACTGAATGAGTTAGGAAGGAAGCATTGTGCTCTACCAAACCTAGACTTTAGCTTTACTAGTGGGTCAGACACTAAACAGTCCGTAACTTTTACCACTTTAGAGCACCTCCTGAAGCAAAGACAGGCTACACATGCACATCCTGCTTCGAAGCACATTCACAACTCAGCACTTGTCAGATATGGTCTGAATGACACATGGGTCCAAGAGGAGCCCTGCACTCAGTCACTAGACACTTTGCAAGTCCCAGGCATGTGGATAGAAAATGGCATTCTAAGTGTTTTGGCAGAGTTCTAGATTAGTAACCCAAGAATAGCATCTGCTGGACTCCCCCAGCCCTCACTCCCCTGAAGGAGGCAGCAGATGAAAGGTGCCCTGCAGGTCCTAGTTTCTTGAACCTATGACATGCTGCCCCCCACCCATGCATCATCATCAGGGATTCTAGTTTTCCATGATAAAAATCCCCAAATTCTCCAATAAAAATAAAAATGTTTTTAAACAATTAAAATAAAATGCTGAACTTTAGTTTCCCTAGCCACTATATAGGTATCTGTCAAATGCCATGTTTTATAGTTAAAAATTGTAACTATAAGCTGACAGCCCAAGCCCCAACAATTCTCCCGTTTATCCAAATTTTTGATGATCTGATCTCTGTCCCAATTAGATCAGATAATCAGGGTTCCACTGTGTATGTTTTTTTTATTTTTTCACAAAATGTAAAAATGAAAGATTCTCTGTAAAAATGCCAATTCCACATTGTTCCATGGCAAACAGATTTCTAGGATCCTTGATCATCAGGAGAAGGTGGAACCTGCTCAGCTGACAGGAAGAGGGGCCATGCCAAGAATAAGGTACTTACATATTTAGTTATTTAAGACCACAACTGATTTATTTCACTTTCTGCAGTGCCCAGTTAGGTGCTCTGGGGACACATCCATTCAATCCACATACAGTGGAGGTCTAGGGTCCCCAACATACTTCTCACCCAAACCCCAGCTCTCTAGGAAAGGTGATGAGAGTTCTCTTAGAAGCTCAGCCCTTAGCCACCAGGAGAACAAATGGACCTTGCAATATGATCTGAAGGGCAACAGATTCAAAACTTTGGTAAACTGAAGCAGGGAGCAGATTCCACCATTGCAGCCCCCTCTCTGAACATCCCTCCATCTCCCTTCCAATTAAATGGGTTGGGGACACAGGTGCAGGAACTAGGGGTGCTGACATACCCTCTGGTTTGACGTGGTTTATATATATATAGTTTACAGTTCGGGTCAATGGCTCGCAACACCCCCCTATAAAAATTGTTCCAGCACTCCTGGGTGGGGAGGATTAAGCTTTGATGTCCCAGATGATCTGGGCCACTGGGGCTATAATGGGGGACAGGCACATCTTGCAGGTGTTCAGGACAGAATCCATTTAAGGCTTTCTAGGTTAAAACCTACACTTGAAAGGGGCAGCCAGTATCTATAAGAGCACAAAGGTAACGTATTCCTTTTAAGAGCCACTTCTAAGCTCCCTGTGAATTAACTCAAACTCCTCACAGCAAGAAATGCTCTATGCTGCCACCAAATGGAAGCAGTGCGGATTCACCAAACTGGCCACTATGGCAGGAAATTGTGCATAAGCTGTGAGGGGAACCCAGAACCTTTTCTTTGCTTCCTGCAGAGTCAGTGCCTGAGACTTCAAATGCTCTTTCAGTCATAGCGGCCTCCCACCTATTTAAATGTTTCCCCAGGGCTGAAAACAACACTGGAAATATTTTAATATTAATATTAACTGCTCTAGGTCACTGCAATTTATAACCAGAGCTGCCCAGCTGACTCTCCAACTGGGCTGGCTGTCCCGGTCCATGTGACATTCCAGCCAACAGAAAGGATGCTAAAAGGGATTCCTGTGCAATAGGCAGACAGATCAATACTCTGTTATATAACTGCCTACTTGAAATAACTGAGGCTCTTTTTACAATGATTAAACCTTTGGCTGGAAGTTTTTGTTGTTGTTTTTTAAGATGATTAAGTCACCAGGGCAGAGACCTAGTTTCCCTGTGTGTACTGAATGTCATGTGCACTTCATCTCTACAGAAATAATATTGCATCACCCATAATAAAGTTGGAGACGAGGAATAGTTTGCATTTTAGTCCTAGGGCTCTGAAAGTGGCATTAACAAATTAAGATACTTTAATTCAATTCTCAATTTCTATTCTTTGGTACTGAAATATAAGTGAGCAGCTGAGAACAAGAGAAAATACCTTCACTAAGTCGCCTCCTGCCCCTCCTGGAAATCCCAGAGACTTTGTGATTTAAAACCAGTGCTTTGACTCGCTGTGCTTAGAAGTTATGATTCATGTGAAAGTAAACCCAACAAGCAATGGGAATTGCATAATAAAAAGGTATCATGGGGGTAGCCTTGTTAGTCTGTATCCACAAAAATGAGAACGCTGGTGGCACCTTAAAGACTAACAGATCTATTTGGGCATAAACTTTTAGAGGGTAAAAAAAAACCCACTTCTTCATCTGAAGTGGGTTTTTTTGTACCCCCAAAAGTTTACGCCCAAATAAATGTTAGTCTTTAAGGTGCCACTGGAGTCCTCATAATAAAGAAGGGAGAACAGATCTTTTTCCTATTCTGGCAGCACAGCTGCTTCTGAAATTCTTTTATGGTGGAGTATTCGAGGAAAACCCAATAACACAATGCTACAATATTTAAGACGAGCACCTAGGAGCCCTGTGTTCAGTCCCACTAGACACTTTGCATGCCCCAGGTAGATGTATGTGAAAGTGAGAGGGGTGGGGACAGGGGTCCCAGCTAGGAGGTGTAGACTCTCCCTAAAGGTCCCCAGTCTGGTTGAGCCGGTTCCTTCCCAATGTTCAAAGATAGAGCTAAATAGGCTTCCTTAGGAGCCTTTGTTAAGTACTCCATGAGAGCTGAAATCACTTGCAGTGGGGCAGTGTTTCTGCTATGTCTACACTAGAAGCACTAAGGCTATGTCTACACTAGAAACTTCAAAGCACTCCAATGGCAGCGCTTTGAAGTGTGTGTGGTCACGTGGGGCTGTCCACACTAGCACTTTAAAGTGCTCAAACTTACTGTGCTCATTTTTCACCCCCCTGAGCCAGCAAGTTACATTTTAGAGTGCTCTAAGTGTAGACAAGCCCAAAGAGACTGACCTACAGAGGTCACAGGAGACAGGCAGGTGGCAGCAGGTGGTGACTGACAGGCAACGAGGAGCAGCAGCTGGCAGGGCAGCCAGGCACAGAAGCTGGCAGTGTGGCCAGGCAGAGCAAGTGCTCAGATGGTGGAGCAAGTCTGGTGTCTTCTTCCCTGAGTAAGACTTCACACAAATGCACTTCTGAACCCTGGGTCCTCACTGACCAAGGACAACCACTGAGAGTGGGGGATGGGGAGGGAGCACGGGGGTGGGGGGGGGCACAGAAAAAGAACTTTTGGTTGTAGAACTCAAGAACATGAGGCTCCTGGTGGGGAGCTGAGAGCCCCTGGGGACTGCAGCCTCGCTGGGAGCAGGGAGCCCCCCATTCGTCCTGGGGTAATAGCCTGTGCTGTGAGGGACTTTGTCAATTTCATGGCTCTAGCACTGAACTGTGAAATTGACAAGAATGACAGCCAACAGCCAATGTAAATATCCCACAGTGTACACACACACACACACTGTCACCCTAACTACACCAACATAAGCCCCATGCCTCTCATGGAGGTGGAGTTATTATATCTGAGTAATAGGTCACTTACATCAGCAGGAGCAAGGCTGTAGTGTGTGCACTGACATAATTGGGTCCATGTAGGCTGCCTTATGTCCACCTAACTCTGTAGTGTAGACCAGGCCCTAGTAAATCATGGGAGAAGATACTAGAGGAACTTGAGAGATGTCTGTTCTTAGAGCTGGTAGAGTAATTAACCAAACTACAAGTTGTCAGATGCTGTGGGGCAAGGCAGAAATGGTTTGTGTTAGAGTTTTAAATGAAAATCTGGAACTAGGGGTAGCTGAACTGAGCTGCTGAAGTCGGTTTTCATTTCTTGGTCTCTATTCTTAGAACTCGTTTTGCAGTAGTCAGGTAAGGAAAATCCATCCTCTTCTAGAGCTGTTCAGAGTGCCGGAGCTGTTCTTGCCGGCTGCTTCATTTGGTGAGGCCTTGGAAGTTGGGCTCCGTACACTGAGGCAACACTGCCTGCTGACTCAGCAGCTTGTCAAGGATGCTAATTTCAGCATCTCGTTTCTCAATGTTCTCGGATGAAGTCCAGGACATGTCGTGCTGAAGCTTATAGGCACCAAGGAACTCATGTGGGCAACTGGTCCCCCATTCCTGTAGAAAACAGGTGACAAGTTCATGTCAGGATTTGGTCTCACTCACGGGAAGTTCAGCTGTAACACAGATTACACACAGGTCTGTCTGCTAGGACTGAACTGTTCTACCAACATTGATAGATTTTAATATTCAGAGTGCTGTCACACTTCCTAACCAAGGACTTTCCCCAATTTTGAAGGCTTGCTTCCCTTCTTGTGGTATTAATGATTTGTTAGCCCTCCGAAGGAAAAAGTTGTACCTAGACACAAACGTGGTGTATTTGAGTGTGTTCACTAACATGAAAATAAGAATGGAAGGTGTATGTTAAGAATAGTAAAGCATATAATAGCTATGCGTGTGGTATGGGGGGTGGGGGGGGAGATGGGATTCAGAGGATCTTGCCTAGACATACCTGTTTGGCAGGAAGGGGGTAACAGGGGGGAAAGAGGACAGGTACCAGGAGTCATATGAATTGGAGGATTCAAGCAAACTCATTCATGTTAGTTTGGTTTGATGAAATACCCAAATGCTGGTTTCAAAAAACGTAACACGAGTACCAGGCTATTCAGAGCCTGTGACCTCCCTAGAGATGCGAGATTAAGCAACGCTGCTGATGACTCAGGCATATTTTAAGGCCTATTACCATACTTTCTAATACAAGCTCTGTGCAGTGACAGAGCTGATAGGGACAAAGCAGTGGCTTAGCCAACTAGAGGCATTCATTGCCATGGGCCTCGATTTGTGGTTTGCTCTTTTCTGTACTATGCCATTACAAAATCTGTTTTTATTAAAGAATGTGAATTGGATATTGGACACTTCAGAGAGAAAATACAACTTTTACCTCAGAGGAGGTTCCTCGGAGTGGGGTAACATCATGAGCAAAGCCCTAGGAGGCTGTGATCTCTATTCCTGAACAATCACAGTACTGGTATAGAGTAAGCATCGTCACCAGAAGGGGGCCTACTTAGAAGGCTGCTGCTGGGGTACACGGGGGCGGGAGGAGATGGTATCACATAACATAGCATTCCAGCCCTTTGGGGCATGTCATATGTAACCCTCTTGATATGTAACAAGAATCCTCAATTTTATATTTAATGAAAACTCTAAAGGTTCTTTAGCTCACACCCAAGGAAAGGACAGCTGTGGCTGCCTGGAGCAGGGGAGCTTCTCTGAGACCTCCCCACTAACAGTTAAGTAGCCCCCGGTTTCCATGTCTAAACACATGAAATGCTCAACTGTGAGGAGTCAGTGAATCAACTGTTGGGCTTAAACATTGGAAAAGATTGTCCTGAGAAGATTCACTGACATGGGGTTCAGAGGAGATGGATCAGCAAGCATGCATGTTAATTCCACCAGGAGGGGACTCCTTGAAATCTCCCATTCAGTTCTCAGGTCAACCTAGATTTTTTTTTTTTTTGGGGCCTGCTCTCTCAACAGCAGAAGTCTTTTCAGCTTTCCTCAAAGACTATTGCACCATACAGCTCCCAAGCCAACCCGTAAGCACAAACCAAGTCACCACCAACAAAAAACACCCTCTTAAGAGCAACTTTGGTAAGTGCACCCCCATTGGCTCAATGGACCCTTTGCTGAGAGAGCTGACAGAATGAGACAGCCCCCAATGTGTGCTGGCGACATACCCTTCATGCTCACTCTCGATTCCCACTCTTACAGGAGAGTAGGTTACCACCTACCTTAGGAGAAAGGATGGAAAAGTATCTCTGGCCACTTTCCCGCCTGTACAGGTAGTAGACGTTTCCTGGTTTCTTCACAATATTGCAGGCTACATGATGAAGATCAGCATCTCTGTTAGCTTCGTCCAAGACCTACACACAACAGAACTGTAAGACTCCTGCCCCCTCTGAAATCCACAGCGTTGCATTTTATTTTTCAGCTAACACCTCAGACTATAGAGCACGCCCTCCAGCACTGAAACACAGCAGCAATTTTCCACCAGGAACGCTATGCTGTAGTTCTGGAAAGGAATGGAAGAACCTCCCTCAGTAAAGTCAACTAAACAATGTGGGCTAATTTGTGCCAATGTTTCATAACTATCAGCACTACGTAGACTCCTCCCTTGGACTCTAGCTTGGCTGTTCCATCTAACAGACGTGCTAGACAAAGGCCACAGGTTTATTAGTGAGCATGGGGCTTCATGGCTCCAAATTTCAAGTTCCAGGACTTGCTTCTTAGAAGTTGGGGGGAAAGGAAAACTTTTATAGTTATCTGTTAACTCTCTGAGGCTTCCCTAGGTGTCTACAATGGCCAACTACAACCCGATGGAGTGTCAGGGCTAAGACCTGCTAATGATGGATCACCACCAAAGACTCTAGGCTGTTGAGTTCAGGGAAGCAACACAGATCCTGCCTTTACTAGATAAAGCACTTGCCTTTCACAGATGGGTTCAAATCTGTCTCAGGATCACAAATCAGTCAAGTAGCTGAGATCAAGTCTATAGGGAACTATGTCCTTAACAAGCGAGGACAGAAATTCCCTGTGAAAATCATGTTACATACCCATCCTTGACACCTCTGCTACTTTCGAAACAGTCATACAGACCTCGAAATCTTGTCCTCCCTTGGCTTTTGTAATTGTGTCAGCTCTGAGCTCGCCTTCCATCTCCCTGGTCATTCAGTCAGTATCTCTTTTGGTGGACCCTCCTCCTATTCTCCATAGACCCCCCCCCTCCCCCCAGGTTTATATCCTAAACCCAATCCTCTTCTCCCTTTACATCCATCCTCTCTGAAAATCTAACTACTCACATGGCTTCATTTAGCTTTTTAAGAATGAGGACAGATCTAGCTCTCCACTCTATAGAATCCCAGATCTCCTCCTGGATGTTTTGCAATCAAGATTAATTTAACATCGCTAAAACCAAGCTTCCCAAACCACCTTCCCTCCCAAACCTGGGAGTAAGCCATCTTTGAGTACTCTCTTTCTCCTACCCCACACATTCAGGATGCATCCAAACCTTGTTGTTTCTTCCTCTGTAACACCTAAGATGTTAGCTTAGATACTGGAGCACAATTTTGTGGTGTGGGAGGTTTATGTCACAAATCCTATCATTCCAGGGAGACAGCTCCTTTTGCTTTAGAGAGTGCTCCTTTCCCAAAGAGTATGAAGTGTACAATCTCCTTTACTCCATAAAGTTGGGAGCCAGCCCAAAGGTCTGAGTTTCTGGTCACATATTCTGTATCAAGACTTTTGCCCTCCGCCTTCCACACACTACTCATTCCTGGAAAGGGATTTCTCTGCCAGCGACAGAACGGTTTCTGAAAGAAGAGTTGGACTGCTGCCTGGTTTTTCCTGTTCTCTGTACCATGAAATGGATACACAACTCCAAACCATGTACCATTCTGACAGGTACCAGAAATCAGTTCAACCTGCAGGATTGACAGATAAGCACGGATAATGCTAAATTCTTCCATACCTTCCGGGCCTGCTCCTGCAGATACCGGATTTGCTCAGCTATGACAGTCAATCTATTGCAGGCATTAGCTCGGATGAATTCATCTGCCTGTAGGAAAGAGGGAAATTTTAATAAGCAGGCATCAGAGAAAACTTACTGGCCTTCTCACTCCTTGCAAAGATTAGTCTGTATGGGTTCAGTGCCTGCCAGCTCCACTCCCACCATGTCGGCCTTTCTGACCTCACCAAAACTCAGGCTGGTTATTTCAGGTAATGTTATGAAAATTGCACAATGTGCATTGTTACACGAAGACTGGCATGAAAACTTGCCATAAGCAGCCTGAGTTTTGGTATGGTCATAAAGTAAGTGCTTCCTGAACCTGTCTGATAAGGTTTATGCTCTGAAACACGAGATTTGTCATTTAGCCAGGCAAAAGCTCCTAGTGTAAATACAGCTAGACAACATAACCTTACTTTTGCTGGTAAAACTTGTTTAATTCGAGAACCTGCAATAGGCTATACCAGTAGAAGCTCAGTTTTGCCAGTATAAGTTGTGTCCACTAGGAGTGCTTTGATGGTACAGTAGAAAAGTTTAGTCACACTTCCTGTAGCAATAAGTCCCACTCTTCAATTGTGTGAAAAAGTATTTCTTTTTATCTATTTTTAATTTCCCACCTTTTAATTCCATTAAACATTCCCTTCTTCTTACGTTTTGAGACAGGAGAACAGAAGTTCCTGATCTACCTTCTCTAAGCCATTCATTGTTTTATGTATTTTTTATCATGTCCTGTCTTCTTGTTCTCCTTTCAAAGGCAAACAAGTCCAATCCTTTCCTCGATCATTCTTCTCACTCTTCTCTGAACCACCTCGATCGCTGCAATATGAAGTATAAGCCTATGTCTAAACATAAAACACTACTGCAGCTGCGCCACTGTAGCCCTTCAGTGTAAACATTTACTACAGCAATGTTCTTCCATCACTGTAGTAAAATCCACCACCTGCAAGGCAGAACTCTTCCATCCACCTAGTGCTGGCTACATGGGGATTTAGGTCAGCTTAACTACATGGCTCAGGGGGTGTGGCTTTTTCACACCCCTGAGCAAAGTAGCTGGGTCAATCTAGATTTCTAGTGTAGAACAGCCCTTAGTCTTCTGCTATGGAAACAACTGCCTCTTCTTCCTCATTCTGATTGACTAAACAAGTGATGCCTTTTCCCTTCATTTTTTTCTATTTCAAGTACAACCTTGAAAGAAGGGACCAAAAGTGAATTATTTGTATTACAGTAGTGCATAGAGGCCGCAAGCAAGATCGGGGCCCCAATGAGAGGCAACGTATATACCATATATACTTGTTCATTAGCCCGTTCGTTTATAAGCCGACCCCCCCAAAATGGATAGGTAAAAAGAGCAAAAACTGTATGACCCTTTCATAAGCCGACCCTATATTTCAGGGGTTGGAAAACGTTGGCTCCCGGCCCATCAGGATAAGCCGCTGGCGGATTGGCACGTTTTGTTTACCTGGAGCTTTCACAGGCACGGAGCCCCTCAGCTCCCTGTGGTCATAGTTCACCGTTCCCAGACAATGGGAGCTGCGGGAAGTGGCACCACTTGTCATTGGAGTAAAGCCACCCCTTTGCAAGGCAGTAACTAATTAATCCATTAACCTAATGATGCCTATACCAAGGCTTAGGTTGGGCTAAGTATGACTCTTGGCATGTGTGAAAAATTCACACCCCTGAGTGATGCACCTAGGTCAACCTAAGTTTTCCATGTAGACCAGGCCTGAGCAGAGTACCAAGGGGTTCTGCTGCCCTCCATTGCTTACCTGTCTAGGTCCAGTGTGAGTTCTTCCGACGGTCAGACATCATTGTGTAGAGATCATTGCTGACCAACTGGTGATAGCCCACCCCAAGGTTGCCAAGTCCCACAACAGATGCTTCTAAAGATGCCCACATTAGAAGCAAGAGGAAGAGCAAACAGAGGGAATAAGGACAACCCATGGAATTATAGACCTATTAGCTTAACTTCAATACCTGGAAAGATAATGGAGCAAAATCAATCAATTTGTAACCACATAGAAGATAATAAGGCCATAAGTAACAGTCAACATGGATTTGTCAAGAACAAATCACGTCAAACCAACCTAATATCCTTCTTTGACAGGGTAACACGCCTTGGGGATAAGGTTGAAGCAGCAGATGTGAGATAGCTCAACTTTAGTACGGCTTTTGATATGGTTTCATATGACTGTCTCAAACAAACTACCGAAATATAGCCTAGACGAATCTGCTATAATGCAGGTGCACAACTGGTTGGAAAAGTGTACTCAGAGTAGTTATCAATGGTTGACAGTCAAGCTGGAAGGACATATCAAGTGAGGACCTGCAGGAATTTGTCCTGGGTCTAGTTCTATTCAATATCTTCATAAATGATTTTGATAATGTACACTTATAAAGTTCGTAGACAATACCAAGCTGGAAGATGTTGCAAGCACTTTGGATAACAGGATTAGAATTCAAAATGATATTGGCAAACTAGAGAAATTATCTGAAATAAACAGGATGAAATTCAATGAAGACAAATGCAAAGTATTACACTTTGGAAGAAATAATGAATTGCAAAAATGCAAAATGGGCAACGATTGCTGAGAAAGAAGTACTGCAGAACAGGATTTGAGGGTTATAATGGATCACAAACTAAGTATGGGAGTACTTGTGGCACCTTAGAGACGAACATTTATTAGAGCATAAGCTTTCGTGGGCTACAGCCCACTTCTTTGGATGCATAGAATGGAACATATTGAGGAGATATATATACACATACAGAGAGCATAAACAGGTGGGAGTTGTCTTACAACTTCATGCTCTCTATATGTGTGTATAGCTCCTCAATATATGTTCCATTCTATGCATCCGAAGAAGTGGGCTGTAGTCCACGAAAGCTTATGCTCTAATAAATCTGTTAGTCTCTAAGGTGCCACAAGTACTCCTGTTCTTTTTGCAGATACAGACTAACACGGCTGCTACTCTGAAAACTAAGTATGAACCAGCAATGTTGCAACAAAAGAAAACATGATTCTGGGTTGTACAGTATTAGCAGGAGCCTTGTAAGGAAGACAAAAGTAGTATTTCTTCCACTCTACTCAGGACTGTTAAGGCCTCAACTGGAGTACTGTCTCCAGTTCTGGGCACGAAACTTCAGGAAAGATGTGGACAAATTGGAGAAAGTTCAGAGAAGAGCAACAAAATGATTAAAGGTCTAAAAAAGATAACCTATGAGGAAAGACTGAAAAAAACCCACTATGTTTATTTGGTTTGGATAAGAGAAGACAGAGAGAACATGGTGTCAATCTTCAAATACATAAAAGACTGTTATAAAGAGGAGGGTGATATTGTTCTTCCTACCAACAGAGGACAAGCCAGGAAGTAATGGGTTTAACTTGTAACAAAGGAGATTTAGGTTAGACACTAGGAAAAACTTCTTAGCAGGTAGTTAAGCACTGGAGCAGATTACCTATGGAGATTGTGGGATCTCCATCACTGGAGGTTTTCAGAACAGGTAGGCAAACACATGGCAGGATGGTCTAGCTCAGTGTTTCTCAAAATGGGGGGCAGACCCAAAAATGGGGGTTGTAAGACTACAGGAGAGCAGCAGCTGCTGGCCAGGTGTCCAGCTCTGCAGGCAGCATAGGCGTGCGCACAGGGTGTGCCGGGTGTGCCCAGGCACACACTAATGCAGGGGTGGGAAAATGGCCCCACTCTCCTGGTGCGGCAAGATGCGGGCTCTGCGCTCCCGGGGCCGGATCGCCCAGCCAAGTGCAGCAAGCCGCCGGCCCCTCCCCCGCCTTCCTCCCTCCCCTGGAGACATGCTGCCATGTGCACAGTGGTCTGGGGGCCAGGGCTGCCCACTCCGACAGGGCAGCGTGTCTGGCTCTTCGCGGAGCAGAACATGCTGCTAGGAGCCTCATGGTAAGGGGTCCGGAGCCGGGGGCATTGGGTAAGGGGTGGGGGCAGTCAGGGGATAGGGAGCAGGGTGGGATGGATAGGGGGTGGGATTCCGGGGGGTGGTTGGGGTGGGGGTCTCTGGAGGGAGCAGTCAGGGAGCAGGGGGAGTTGGATGAGGCATGGGAGTCCCGGAGGTTGTCAGGGGGCAGGGAGCAAGGAGGGTCCTGGTGGGCAGTTAGGGTGAGGGGTCTCTAGAGGGGGTTGGTCAGGGGACAAGGAGCTAGGGGGGTTGGATGAGTCAGGAGTTCTGGGGGGCGCCTGTCAGGAAGCAGGGGCATGGAGAGGGGTTGGGGCAGACAGGGAGCAGGGGGGGTTGTATGGGGTTGGGAGTTCTGGGGGTCCTGTCAGGGGGCAGGGATTGGTTGGATAGTCGTGGGAATCCCTGGAGTCTGGCTGGGGGCGCGGGTGTGGCTAAGGGTCAGGGCAGTCAGAGTCCTAGGGGGGCAGTCGGGACAAGGAACAGGGAGGCTTAGGTAGGGGGTGGGGTCCTGGGGGGCCAGTTAAGGGCAGGGGTCCCAGGAGAGGGTAGTCAGGGGACAAGGAGCGGGGGGGTTGGGGGTTCTGAGGGGGGCAGTCAGGGGGCGGGAAGTAGGAGGGAGTGGATGGGGCTAGGGCAGGGCTCCCCGGGTGCACACCCTCATTAAATGAGCTGCGCACGCCTATGGCAGGCAGCACCGCAATAAGGGGGCCTGGTGCGGGTGGTCGTCACTTCTCGGGGGGTCATCACAGCCGGAACACTTTCAGAGGGGTCCCACCAAGGCGGGTTTGGGAAGCCCTGGCCGAGCGAACTCTAGCCCGGCCTTGGCGCAGGGGCTGGGCTAGGCGAGCCGGCGAGAGCCCTTCCCGCCCGGCCCTACCCGTCCGGGAGAGCGCTACCCGCCCCTGCCCCAGCAGGGCCCGTCCGGGCTGGTTCGCAGCGCCGCGCCAGCTCCCCGGCCCGAGCCTCCGGTAACGGGGCAGCCCGGCTCGCCCCGCCCCGCCGCCCAACAGCAGTGCCCGGCCGCGCCGCAGAGGAAGCCCCGCGGGGCCCCGGCCTCCAGCCCCCAGGCTCGCCGGGCTCCTCACCTTCTGCACCTGCTGCGCCAGAGCCACGAGCTCGCCCGGGTCCGCGCCCCGGCCCCGGCCGGCGCCGCGCTCCACCAGCGCCACGGCGGCTCCTGCGGAGAGAGCGCCCGTTAGACAGCGGGCCGGTTCCGCCGGGCCTTCCGCCATCGCCGCCTCCCTCCCAAGGGCCCGTCCGGTCCGCACGCCCGGCGGCGCGGGCGGGGCCGAGCGCTCTGGGGGCGGGGCCTGCCGAGTGGGCGGGGCGCGCCAAGGCTGCGCTCTAGTGCGGACGGGGCTGTGACGATAGGGGCAGGGCTCAGAGGGGCGTGGCTCTGTTGAGTGGGCGTGGCTCTGAGCCGAGGAGCATGGCTCTGCCGGATGGGCGTGGCTCTGATGGTAGGGGGCGTGGCTCTCCCGGGTGGGCGTGGCTATGGTGGAGGGGGCGGGGCTCTGCCGCCGGTCCTGTCCGTCTCTCCCCGCTCGGCCATGGCGCTGGCTGCGCTGCTCTTGCTGCTGCTGGCGCCGTGCGCGGCGGAGCCCCCGGAGCCGGCCGAGCCGCCCGACGTGCTGTTCGCCGCCGGCTCCGAGGCGTACGCGCGCGGGGACTGGCCCGCCGTGATCCTGCACATGGAGCGGGCGCTGCGGGCCCGGGGGCGCGCTGCGCTCCCAGCTCGTGCGCTGCCGCCTGCGCTGCGCCAACAGCACCGCCTGGCCCGCGGGGGAGCCGGGCCCGCCGCCCGCCCTGCGCGACCTCCTCTTCTTCCAGCAGCTGCTGCGCCGCGCAGCCTGCCTGCGGGCCTGCGCCCCCGCTCCCCCGTCCCGCTACCTGCTCAGCGAGGAGCTGGAGCTCGAGTTCCGCAAGCGCAGCCCCTACAACTACCTGCAGGTGGCCTACTTCAAGGTGAGGGAACCGGGAGGGGGGACCTGAATGAACCGGGGGCGAGCCTGGACCCAGGGAGGGGAGAGAGCAGGTGGGCTGAGGGGGGAGACAGAGCAGATATGGCTGGGGATGGCGGAGCCCCGGGCCCCCGTGTCTCTGCAGGGGGGCTGTTTCCAGGTGGCTCCCCAGGGCACTTGCCAGGCAGATTCAGAGGGTGAAGGGACGGACTGGCTGGGGGCCCAGTGGTGGGGCTGGGACCCCAGGTGAGGTTGCCAGCAGGTGGAATGGAAGACCATGGGTGTAGCTCTGTCTCAGGTGTCCAGCGCTCTGCTCTACTTAGATAAATCCCAGGGGAAATCAAAGTGCAGCATCCCCTGGGAGGCAGGGTCTCCATGCTGTCTGCATTGTGATGCACATGGGCTCCAAAACCCGGACACTCACATTTCACTCACCAGTTACAGCAGGCAGCGTGGGGGCCGTTTGCAGCCACTAGGACCTTTGGGGTTGAGAAATGACCCTGTCGGCAGATCAGACCCGTTACCAAATGCAGGAGCTCATTTCAATGTGAGACTGCAAGGCTACAGGACCATATCTGGTCTGTCTGCTGCCCCCTAATAAGGAAGGGAGTTCTGTCCACATCGGACACCATCCAGTGCAGCCACTCCTATGTGGCAGTGGAGCTGAGTGTTTTACTAAGCTATGGCCCAGCTGAAAGCCAATGCCCATTCCACGCCGATGGTGTGCACACACTCACAACTGTCCCTACTGGCTGGGTTGAATCTGGGAAGAACGATCCCTTGAAATATGTGTGCACTAATTATGCTAAACAATCTGTTGCCCTTGTATCTAGCTGTGACTGTGTGCATTTCCCAGACCTGAGGAAGAGCTCTGTGTAAGCTTGTCTCTCTCACCAACAGAAGTTGGTCCAATAAAAGGTACAACCTCACCCACCTTGGCCCTCTTCACAAGGGTCAAAATGGATCCATTCGTCCTTTCCCTGGGTACCATCCAGAGGAGCCATGCGCTGCTTTTAATGCAGGCACATTTCTCCTTGGGGACGGCTTGCGAGCAGTTGTATTAGGCGGGGGGGCTGGATGGTGCTAGGAAGGGAGCCAGCTGCATCTGGAGGGGGAACAGGATGGTGCAAGAAGGGAGGCTGTGGGAAGGGTGCTGGGGAAAGTGCAGGCTGTGACCCAAGGAAGTGCATGAGGGATCAGTGGGAGTGGGAGATAACGCTAGAGATGGGCAGAAGGTGCTCTCTGGGAGTTAGCTACAGGCCAGTATTGTGCTGTGACGGGTAGGGTAGATGATGGGGCAGTGCCAGGTCTCTGGCCCCAGCGTCACAGGGGCGCCGCATGCTAGAGAAATGGCCATTCCCCCTAACTCCTTTTGTGCCTTGCTTTGAATTTAGCCCATTTCCTTTTCCCCAGTTCAGCACATGTAACAGAATCCAGTCTAGGAGCTCTCCATCCTCCCCTCTAGCTGCTCCTCCCATCCCAGGGCAGGGCAATGGAGTTTATGCCACATGTGCAGTCCCAGCTGCTTCCAGATGTCTCCCCTCCTTTTCCTGCAGCAGAAAGTCCAGCCCCCTCTATTCTCCTCCCTTCTTCAGAAGCTGAAATGCCACGTAGTGAGCTGGGGGCTGTATCATCCTTCATGCCCAGTGTAAAGCGATCCACGGGGGTCTCGTGTTTCAGAGCTGATGTCCAGTGCAGTTGTAGTCAGAAAAGTGAAAAAGTGGCCCCTTTGTACACTCCTTTCCTTGACGCTGAAATGTCTTTGTCCCATTCAGTGACCGTACTGAGACGTAGAAGTGTTTACACCCATTAGATCTGTATTTTTAGTGGTAATGATGACGCTAGCACTAACAATCTGCCCCACTGGGCACTTAAAGGAAATACCTGCAAAGAATATTCTTACGTGGTGTTGGGGTCTCAATCCCCTCGGGAAATTTTGTATTGCATCGATGATCACATTGACTCTCTATGACACAGAGACTCTCCTGTAGCCCAAGAATACTGGGCCACAGACACTTTTATCTCTGCTTTGCCTCTCCCCCCCGAAAAAACTTTAAAGAAAATACTGGGTCAGGTTGATTAAATGTCAATTTAATCACACTTCTGTTTGAATAGTTTTTACCTATTGGCATTACAAGTAACAGCTAAAATCAAATACTGAAGGCAATGAGAGGAAAACATATTTGTTTTTCAGTTTGTTTACTTTGTGCATTTGACAGTTTCACTCTCCACTCTATACTTCCTTGGTGTCTCTTGTTACTTGTCTTTCACAGAGCAAGATGGAAGAGAAAATATTTTTTAAATGGAAAAATGTAGATTAAAAAACTAAAAGTTTGGCAGAGCAGCTTTGGGTAGATGCAGAACCTGAAACTATTCAGCTGTGTTTTGTTCTGTTTTTTATTGATTAAATTTCACCTGGATGGGCCCTCTAAGTTCTCATGAAAATTAAACTATTGGGATAAGGTGCAGTTCATAGAATCTCCGAAGGCAGAAATGAAAAAGACCCATTCAGCCCCTGCCAGTGCAGGATCAGTCTGTCTGGTGCATTCTGGGCTTTGTAGTCCAATTTTCAATAACTTGAGAGTCTGGGCTTCCACTACTGCCCTGTATTTCCTGCTCAGGTTTTTATACCGAACCCATCAGTGCATGTCTGAGTGCCTTCCCGAGCTGCATTAAACAACATGCCTGACATCTGTCACACACCATGTCTTCTCCATTTCTTTCTGTCCCCCCAGGGGAAGGGAAAAGGGGGATGTTTTCCCTTGGGAGACTCTTGTTAATTATCATTTGAATGACCATCGCTAAGGCTACATTTTAGTCACGGGTATTTTTAGTAAAAGTTATGGACAGGTCACAGGCAGTAAACAAAAATTCACGGCCCGTGACCTGTCCATGACTCGTACTATATACCCCTACCTAAAACTTGGGCTGGGGGGCCAAGGGTCCTCTGCGGGGGGGGGGGCAGAGGTGCTGGGGAGATGGCCCAGGACCCTCTCCAGGTGCTGGGGGGGAGGCGGGCGGCAGCGCACGGCCTGGGACCCCCGCTGGTGCTGAGGGGGCGGCGGCCCAGGACCCCCGCTGGGGGGGGAGGGGCAGTGGAGCTGGCAGGCTCCTTACCTGGCTCCGCGTGTCCCTGCAGCTCCTAGGGGGAGGGAAGGCCGGGGGGCTCTGGTGCACTGCCCCTGCCATGAGTTCCAGCTCCGCAGCTCCCATTGGCTGGGAATTGCAGCCAATGGGAGCTGTGGGGGCGGCACTTGTGGGGGAGGAACAGTGTGCAGAGCCCCCTCCTGGATCCTCCGCCTAGGGGCTGCAGGGACATGCCTGCCGCTTCTGGGGAGCCCCAGGTAAGCACCACCCCTCCCCCACACACACTGCCCCAGCAGCGGCCAGTGCAGCTGGCCCAGGGACCGCTTGATCTGCTCGGGCAGCCCGGAGCCAGCCACACCAGCCACTGCAGACACACAGCCTTAACCATCACTCCTAGAGGCCCCATCCGAGATCAGAGCCCCATTGTGCTAGGTGCTGTACATACTATACATAATAAGAGACAGTCCCTGCCCTAAAGCTCTTGCAATCTAAAGAGACATAATGGGTGAGAGACAGGAAAGATTATTATTCCCCTTGTACAGATGGGGGAGATGAGGCCCAGAGATCTGCCCAAGGTTATACAGAGAGTCTGTGGCAGAGCTAGGAACTGAACTCAGCTCTCCTGAGTCCCAGTTCAGTGCTTTAACCTCAAAACCATCCTTCCACTCCAAAATAAGGAAGCATGGGCAAAGCCTCCCAAAACCTGGGAATGAACCAGGGACCTTTAGATCTTAGTTGAAATTTTGTGCTGCCCCTGCAGGACAGCCAGACTTTCAAACAGCTGGGATTAGCAAATGCAGTAGCAGGCCCAGCGTAGGGCTCCGTGGAACACAAAAGAAAATAAATGTTTAGACTGATGCAAGGTATAGGGTGTGTATGGAGAGCTGGGGAGGAGAGGGGATTAGTGTTTTGGTTAGTGAGTAATGACAGCGACTTGTGACACAGGCAGTTTGTGATGTTTCATTCAGTGATGTTTCATTCAGTCTGGGAGACGTGTTCCTGGTGAGTCGGCAGGGACTGGCTGGGCTGGTACGGTTTTCCACACAAATTGTCTTGAGGGGATGTTCTCTTGTGGTTCTAGTACACAAGCAGTTGAAGAAGCCAGTTGCTTTCCCCAGTAGATTAAGCTTGTCTGGTCCTAGCATTCCCCCAGAGCAGTGTGGGATTTTCACTCTCCAGCATTG